AAGAATTGAGCCTCCTTTCATGTTCTTATATTTGTACGTTTTTAACATTAAATATTCTTTAAGAGAGTACACCTTTTGAGTTATTATTTCAATGTCATTGGAAATTAATTTTTAATATAATGCTGAAATTTTACCTAAATGTGTGCCCATACCTCCCAACTGTTCCTAATTTGGAACTGAATCCCTCTGTCCCTCTTCCTTCCTCAGTTGTCCCTCTTTTTGGTCTGATGTACAGATATCTATGAAAAGGTTCTATTCAGCTACCAAAAGTGTTATTCTGCACTAAAACTTTCATCTTACCTCTTAATTGTCATGTTTGCTATTTTGCAAAACCAGGATAAAGGAAAAATATTGGTGAAAAAAATGGGTTTGAGCAATAATTTTTGGCATATACATTCTTAATGGTCCACATAACTGGGGCATGGCTGGGATATATCTATTCCCTAAATACATTGTGCTGGATGCTGCACCTCTTTCTTATCTCAGAAAGTTGGAAGGTATGTATGTTCTATAAAGATGTGTATATTTTCCATTTTCCCTCTAGTCCATGTCAAACTCAGTGGGCCAAATCGAGAGGACTAAATCTCCAAGGAAGCCAAATCTGCAAAGAGGAAGAGAGGCCCAAAGAAGAAGCAGGAACACCAGTTTACATGCCTGTATCCAGTATTGCGGTCAGCACCCCTGTTGCATATAAAATATATGTTTTTTTTAATTGGTCAGGGCAGCCTGTACTATACTAAAGCTCTTGGATGTGATCTGCCTGTAATAAATCCCAACACTGTTGTGGACCGCATCCATTTTTTGGGTATTCCAGCTTGTTCCAGCTCCTCCTGTTGCATTCACCATCATATAAAATGAGTAAAAATCCAACCCTACAGAGATCTCACCAATTGAGTCCTCGATAAATATAGGAAATTTACAGTTGGTTTGAAGTTTCATTCACACCAAGTGCATTGGGCTGCATTGCTCAATGCAGGCCGAAAACAATAATTAGCTGAAATCCATGGTTCTCAATAGACCCCGTTTACAGCAACAAACTGTGCTGATGCATGCTGGCTAAAAATGGAACATGTTGCATTTAAATGCAGTGCAACATGTTGCAACGCACTACAATAACCCGCATCATGGTAAACAAAATAATTTTATTTTGGCTTATGCTGCAGAAAAAAGAGGCACATCAATACAACACGTTAAAAGAATGCATGTCAACATCCTCCTGGACTGAGCAGCGCTCACATAAAGATGCATGAACGCTGCCAAGAGCTGAAGTATTGTGAGCCCAGGCTGCGCATGACGCACCCACAGGGCGTGTGTAAATAACAGGCTGGGCTCACAGAAAATGGGCAGAATTACCTGACTGTGCTGACTGAAGTGTTCAAGAGGTGCAGGACCAAGGAGGAAGCTGGGACCAATGTTGGAGTATGGAGAGGGTAGTAGAAGTTTGCAATGCGGGAAACACATATAAAAAAATATTGGAGCTCTGCTTTAAGATTCAAACCTAAAAAAATATAAAAGACCGAAGTTTGAATTTAAAATTATATTTAAACATTAATGGGAATCTAAGCAAAAAATAATATAATGTAATATATTACAGCTTACCAGTCCATAGATGTGGCGGCTGCATCCGTTTTCATTTTTCTTCATTTTCTCCTGGTGATTCTGCTACTAACACACTTCTAATTCTAGGATGACAATGCTCATTCACTACTGTATCAGGAAACAAAAACAGGATAAGCTGACAGGACCCCGCCCTTGTCTTTCTCTATAACATAGAGGGGTGTGGTTCTGTAGCCCTCAGAGATAAGTGAGAGCACAGGGAGTTAAAAGCTCGCTAGATTTCTGGCAAGATCAACCGGAATTGTTTGCACTGATCAAACAGATATAACAAAACATGTTCAATGGCATATTTAACAGAGATAAATGGACCATATAAGAGAATAAGAAGAGAATATGAGTATTAGTTATCAGTTATTCTAAATAAATGTTTCATTTTTGGACAGTTTACGTCACTAGAGAGAGGTAATGCATTTGAAGTGATCTAGATCATGCACTCTAAAGTATTTACATATTCTGAATAGGCAGTAAAAACACTTTTTAAAAAAGGCCTCATTCATCTTTTTTTCGTAGGCAATATGGAGAAATTATTGCACCAGAACCTTTGCCGCTTGACGGCCCTTTAATGCAAACCCACAGCAGGTGTTTCTAAATTGTTAGAAGCTGACTGAAAACTTTAGGGTCCATGCTGTGATCTTTGAGAATGCATTACTTTACAGTACAAGCAATTAGAGAGGTCAGGGGTGGCTTGTTTTAAAGTTCTTTAACTGTTTGTTAAGAATATGTAAAAAAATAAAATAAAATGCATGGTGTGAGCACATTTGCAATTTAAACATGTTTTGGGGTTACAGAGCATAACAAATGTTGTTGCAATCCATGTGACTGCCAGAAGCTGGCAGGATTTAGGAAGGGAGGAGCTCAAGATGACCAGGGCTTGAATTGATTAGATTGAAACAATTGCTCAACGCAACATTCAAGGACACAACTACAGACATGGCAGACTTCATGAATTTTCAGGTGGAACTCTAGGCTTATTTTTACATGTTCTCTAGGCAAATCTTAAAGCCCAACACTCTTCAAAAATGTTTTAAAAGAAATTGGCCATCAGTGTAAAATATAAAAATCAGCTTTTGCTGCAATACCCACTCCCTTTTCATCACTGTCCCCCACAAACTTACTAGTTTGCCATCCAGGGCCTGTCCTCTTCTTGGTTAAATGACTGCCAGCATTATCCAACTCCATTCCTGTCATGAGTTAAACAAATGGCAAACGGACTCATCAATTCATAACTTTTAAAGTAAGATGCACATGGTAGGTCTTTACACAATGCAAAAACAAAAGTTTCCCAGCACACCTGCAAAACAAAGTACAATGTCTAATTATTAGGGTAAAAAACAGAGGTTATAGTTGCACAACTTCTGCAAAATATGTAGGGCTGCGGAAATTAACGATTAATCCCTCGATTAATCGTTAATTTTTTTGATCGATCAAAATTATTTTGATCGATCAAAGTTCTTTGGCTCCGTACTCACCTCTCCGCCGGCCTCCGGGTCTTCCGTCGGAAATCGTCACGGACATCGACGTCACCGGACTCCTCCCCCCCTTCCACAAGTGGCTCTGTCAGCTAACGAAGGGAAGGGGGGAGGAGTCCGGTGATATCGATGTCCGTGACGTCACTGGACATCGACATCCTCCCCTTCGTTACCTGATGGAGCTGCTTGGGCCGGTGAGTACACCCGGGAGAGACACACTTTTTACTGGAAAGGTTTAATCTGCTCAATCGAGCAGATTAAACCTTTCCCTGGGATCGTTTTTTTTTTTTCTTTTCTGACATCGGGAGCCGCGGCTTGACCGTCAGTCAGAAAAGAAAAAAAAAGGCATACGATTGCATAGCTAGATTACTATTGGCTATTGCACTTTGCAATAGCCAATAGAAAACTAGCTAATGCACCCGCCCACTTCTGCTGTCAATCAGCAGAGGGGGACCTGAATTTTTCTATCAGGTCCTCTTCTGGCGATTGAAAGCAGCAGGGGGCGGGTGCAATAGCTAGTTTGCTATAGGCTATTGCAAAGTTAAATAGCCAATAGGAATCTAGCTATGCATTCTTATGCCTTTTTTTTTTTTTTGTCTGACAACTGCAAAAAAAAAATAAGTCTGCAGATAGCAAAGAAGCTATTGCTTCCTGTGCTATCTGCCATCATTTCAGGGGGGTGCTCTCTCCCAGCCCCCCCTAACCCCCCCTCCGCGGATGGGGGGGAGAGGGCACCTCCCTGAAATGAGAGGGGCACCTCCCTGAAATTGCTTATTTCAGGTTGGGATCCCTGGCATTGGCCTATACACATACAGCACAGCAATGAAGTAATAAAATAAACTAGGATCACACTAATCCAGCATGGTATTATTCTGAGTTGCCACACTCAAGCGGCGGCCATATTGAGTGGGGCACGTGAGATTAATAACGTGCTGGATTACTGTGATCCTAGTTAACTTTATTACTTTATTGCTGTGCTGTATGTGTATAGGCCAATGCAGTTGGATCTGTATGTGCGTTATAATTAATCGAAATTAATCGATTAAAAAAAATTTGGATTAATCGAACATGAAATTTTTAATCATTACCAGCCCTAAAAATATGTGGAAGCCGCACTGCCTTGTCAAGGCCCCATCTGCGTAGGGTGCTCTTAAAGTGATATTAAAGCTTCTTTTTTTAAAATATTTGCTAGAAGGAGGCCCACCTTTGTCTCAGGCTGTTGTTGTTTTTCTTTAACAGTTTTAAATTCCTTGTTTTCAAGTGGGTCCCCGCAGTGCTCTTTCCGCCGTTCCCTGCACGGTGCCTCCATCGGCTAATGGAGGCATCTGTGCGCGCTCGTGCCAGCGTGCTCGTGCCCACAGTGGATGTGTGCATCCATAGACACACACAGCCCTGCGTAAGGCCACACCCCTCCTCTCCGCCCAACAGTTTGATTGATGGTAGAAGCAGCTTATGGCTCCTCTGCCAACAGTATCCTCCCCCCAGAACCAAGAAGTTTGGGGAACGGAGGATCGCTTCAGACCGGCGGCGGGGATGAGCATCCCTGACAGGTAAGTGTGGGGGGGACTGCGGGAGAACAAGGTACTGGGCGGTTTTTAACCCAATGCAGAGAATGCATTAAGGTAAAAAAGCGCTCAGACCTTAATACTACTTTAACTCTAATCTATGCAATGTCATGGACACACTACCTCGGTATGCAACATCACAATGGCTTGGGCTCAAAGTACTTCTGAACAGATGGACATTCACACATCATTATATAAATGTCCTACTATCCAGTAGTATGGACCACCCATCATCACAACAGAGATCACCAGATCAGCCTTGTAACTTTCTTTAATAGATACATTTTGCATACTTTCTGTTAGCAATATTTCTCCGCACATTATTTCTGTCTCTCTTTCTGTGTCTTAGGCTGGTACCAATGGTTACATGGCACCCGAAATTCTAAAAGATGAGAACTACTCTTATCCTGTTGATTGGTTTGCGATGGGCTGTAGTGTGTATGAGATGATTGCAGCCCAAACACCTTTTAAAGATCCAAAGGAGAAGACCAAGGATGAGGTGAAACGGAAGACACTGGAGGATGAGGTTGTATTTCACCATCCAAACTTCACTGCAGAGGCTAAGGATATATGTAAACTCTTTTTAGCAAAGAAACCAGAGAACCGATTGGGAAGCAGGTAAGGAGAGATTAATTTACCCAATACAGTGTGTAGAAAAAAATCTTATAACATTTCTTTTGCAAATGATTTATGATTATGACCAATAAAAATGTTTATATGTTTTGTTAGTGATGGATGGATGGTTTATATATTTGCCTTTGAACAAGTATACACAAATATATATATATATATATATATATATATAACATCATTAGTACACCAAAGTAAAAAACGGTTCTCAATCAGGAGCGTAGCATGTGTTCCCTCTGCCCTTCCCCAAAACACTTCCACTATTCTATATTGCAATAAATCAAACACAGGCCCTGATGTATTCTTCCTACCACTCTGAGAGTAGTGACTAATAAGTCAATTTTACCAGAACCAAGAACTAGCAGTTTGGTTCTATGTGTATGGACCAGAGTGAGTGATCTGAAAATGAAACAATACACATTCCACCGACAAAAACAGTTGAAAACATGATATGTGTATGAATGACACCCCTGAAAGCCTTGCCATGCTAGGATACAGCCTATGTTGGTGATGAAGAAATCCTGGTCTCACAAAATCCTGCTAACATTTGGGCTTTTGATCTGTTCATAAGGCATCTTTGGTCTTTGAAAGATTCATAAATCCATCAAAGTCTCTAGGTATATGGAATGTTGTATAAGTATACATCATATCTGATTGGAGACTTCTTCGGCTAAACAGAAGCCGATGAAGGGTTTCAGGTGACTAGTGAAGAAAGTAGCAGTCTTATTTGGACCATTGGTTTCTGTAACCTCTGTCACAATCTGGCGTTTTAATTTATGTGTCAGGGATTGATCAAAGTTTTGTACACATGTTTAGTAATTTTGGATTAAATATAATATATGTAAAAGGTTCCTGGAATGTGTCATCCAGTTGATATAGAGCAAACACAGATCATGTATGCCAAAAGCAGGTTGTCATTTGAAAATCCAGATCCTTTATAATAAAGATGACCCACCCCTCACCAACACATGAGTTACAAGTGCATCTCACTTCTACAAAGGGGCATATTTACTGCGAGGCAAACAAGGCGTTTGCCTGGAGCGGCACTTTGCAGGGGGGCGGCATTTTTCACCCTCCTACAAAGAGGAAAGCCGGCAATGGGCTGACAAAATCAGGCAGCCTTGCCTGCCTAATCAGGTTGCTGCTAGTGGGGATCCATCTGTCTCATACACCCGCACGGATGTGCTGTTCAGAAGAGAGTACCGCCGCGTCCTCCCATAGAGAAGAGCAGGGAAGAATCACACGCAGCACCTGTTCTTCCCGGGAACGGCCCGTTGCGGCCGTGTACGCCGCATGGATCTGTACGGGCCGACTGCGTGAATGAGGCCTAATAGCGCAACCTGTCAGAGGCTGACTTGACAGGTTACGCAAAATGTCTTGAACAGGAAGGGTTGGGAGAAATTTAGATGAGGGGGGTTGGGGTGTGTGCAGAGTTTCGTCTTGCCTAGGGCAGCACGAAACCTAAATACGCCGCTGCTTCTACATATGGTGTCGTCTACGGTGTCCTTAATAATATGTGTGTATGTTTAATAATAAGAATTCTTAACAAAACGTGCATTAAAAAAATTTCTGTCATTATTTCCATCAGTCCATGTTGAATGCATTAGCATATACTGTATGCACAATTAGGGAATGGGTATGTACAATATATAGTGCGGATGCTCTGAATCATTTTAAGGGTTTGTGTAGATAGGCCAATGCAGTGTGCTTTCAAGTGCAGTAATGTATTTGGGATCAGTCTGAGTTGGGTTCAGTCTGAGTTGCATTACAGGTGCATCATACATGCAGTTGACCTCTCTCTAAACTGCATCAAGCTGCTTCAAGTTTCCTTTGCATTGCTATTGACTTGTATGGGGTGAAAACCAGTTCTTGTGTGAACAAAAGCCCATGTACACAAGCCTTAAAATAATTTGATCAATATCAAAACATACATGAAAAGGACTACTACCATGTTTTATAATTTCTCTATAGAAACTAAGAGAAAATTTCGACATCCTAGAAAATGTGATTGACCTGCAATGGCATATAAACACAAAACAGACATCCAACAGGGTGCAATAGGGAACAGATAATTTAAGTATAAAAGCAATCTCATTAAAATGTAAAATGTAACTTATAAGCAGCTTTAACAGCAAACTAAGCCAGGGGCTGTAGACTACATGTTACTTTCAGACAGAGTGGCCGCTTCACCATTTTGTCTCTGGAGCCCCTCTAAAGGCTTGGTAATAGGTCATTCAGCACCAAGCACTGCATAGCTGGTTGGGGAGGGAGCACATTTACCTCATACCCCAAAGTGCCCATTCTTTTTAAGGGGCTCCAAGATAAAATTTGGGGACATGCATTTCATTTAAATGACTTCTCCTCAGCTGGGAGCTTCATTTACAACCTAAAAACAGCTTACAGGTTAACTTCATGTGGCCCTTTGCTGCAGAGTACATTTTACATGTCACATAATTATTAAACATAACATGGTTGTAGCCATGATGGTTCAGCAGCAGCTTGATACTCCTGCAAGACAGGCATGACTGGAACTATCTACATATGTCAATAAACTGGAAACTAAAATGTGTGGAAGGATTGCTTTAATGGCAGTGGAATAAAGTAAACACCTATGTATAGTATATATACATTACTGCATTGCATATACTGATTCAGCCACTTATGGTGCTTCTGTATATACATATAATATGAATGCATAATACATTTATACTGCAAGTTCACACACTAAAAAGATATGTTCTATTTCCAGTAGAGGGTGCTAAAGTTATCTATCTAACCACAAACAGGTTTCTACATTTATAAGGTGGCATGGAATTGCTGTGGCTGTACAGTTTGTACTCAAAGCAAGTGAACAGATGTACCCATAGACATTAGCATTTTTGTTTTCACCCAGTGACCACATAGTCCTCATTCAGATCGACATTTTCCTGCTGCTTGGAAAAGCATATTTGAATTTTTGCACATGCTAAGCAAGAGCCCATTCACACCAGGGTGGTTGCGGATCAGCGCGTTTACCGCACTGATCTCAAAAGGGAGGTTTTAGGAGTTTTTAATTGTGTTTTAGCGCTGAAATGCAATTAAAAACGCCCAAAATCGCGCTAATCAGTGCGGTTCCATTGAAAGCTCTATGGAAACCACACTGATCAGCATGGCAAAAATAGTGCAGGGAGCAGTTCGGGCAGGGGGTGGGATGGGGGTGGGGGTATTGGGGCGGTTTGGATCACAGACCTGCGCGGTCACATGAATGGTCCCCATAGCAATGTATGGGATTGTTCATGTTGGCAGATCCGTGCGGCCAAATCCGCGAGGTCGAACAGCCCGGTGTGAACGGCGTCTCATGGTCCAGTTCGCACTTCAGCATTTGTGCTAAAATTGCAGTAAATCCATCAAGGTTGCTTAGCACAGAACCTGAAGTGAACTTTGAAAACAGCTGGTCTTTGGTGTTTTTGCAAAATTTTTTTACAAAGCCTACCATACATGCTGGTTTCTTCTATAGTTGCTGAGTTTGATATACGTATATCAGGCTTATTCAACAAGTGGCAAAGTGCCGAGGCATAATGCTGCTTTCCATGAAAATCAATGGATTTTTTTTTTTTTGCACAATTTTACAAAAGTTGCAAATAAATACTGTTCAAAGACTTCTAATTATATGAAGTTGTGCAACAATGGTTGTAGAATATTCAACAGGACTACACCAATATCTATCAGTGCCCAATAGGACTACACCAATATCTATCCTTGCCCAATAGGACTACACCAATATCTATCGATATAAACAATCAATATCTAATATCTATCAATATGTCTAATAAGTCCAGCTAACAAGGTGAAACAAAGATGCTTTATGGTTGCTCAAGGCTCAGTGTCACAGGCTTATATGAATGAGGTCCTAGGTAGAAAGGATTGAAAGATAACTTCCTTGCCTGAAATCACCTCCACTTAACAGTCCTTGCTTGGTGAAGTTCTCACAACACTAGTCCTGCCAACAATCAGCAGATAAAAGGATATATAAAATGTTACAATGTTACAATTTGTCTAAAGGTTGGTGACAGTGTCATTTGCTCTCACTTAATACTCTGTCAACTTGCAGTATTATGATTTTATTTGTGAATATCTTTCACTTACATATTCCAGGAATATATATTGGTACATAATACATATGGTGGAGCCTTTGCAAAACCCTAGCCGCCTTTCATTTAAGGCTTCCTGAAGTATCCTAAACTTAATTGCGACTATCACAATCATAGTTGAGCTGAACTCAAAATGTGAAAGTTTGCTATGTTATAGGGAACATTTAGAAATGTCATTTTTGACTAAGCAGAAGGTGCATTTTGTCTTGAATTCCTCCTGAAAAAAAGGAGCACTTTCTGGCATGTGAGTGTGTCTAGGAACTCCTGTTCATAAAGCCTCTTAGAAGCATCTGTATATCTGTAGTGTGAGGCATACGTGCGTACATCTGTAGTGTGAGATATAAGGCATTGCTGCCTCTCATTGCTAGCCCCAGGAGAGTTTGAGTGAGATTTAGTGATGTCACTACAGTGCCGCTCAGTCTTCTCCTTGCTGGAGGTTCTGACATGAGGAAGCCCTGCCCCTACCAAGATGGCTGCCCCCACATAGATACAGTACAGAACAAAATATGGTCAGTAATGGGGAAAGATCAGCTGCAGGAAGGCAACACTGATGACTCCATCTTTGCTCTCTACTTGTCTTTTTTTGGGCACAGCTTTCAGAATTCAGTTCCTCTTTCAAAACAGTCTACACAAACCTTTGGAAAGAGCCAGCGTCATATGCAAAGCTTTTTTTGTACATTAGGCACACCTACTAGGTAAGAAAATGTCAAGCAGAACCTAGGTATCTACCTAAAGTTTATCAGGCCATGTAATGCATTGTTTTTTCAATTTGAATTGCAAAGCTGAACTTTCATTTTAAAGGTCAGGCCACATGGCCATGAGATGCATCAGGGGGGCAATCAGGGGTTGTACTAGCAAGTTGTTTAATATTTTCATGATGTGTAGCTGAACATGATGGATCTCTCCTAACCAGCTCTATAACATCCTCTCTTGTAGAACCAATGATGATGACCCACGAAAACATTCGTTCTTTAGTACAATAAACTTCAACAGACTGGAGGCTGGGATGGTAGACCCTCCGTTTGTCCCAGACCCGTCTGTGGTCTATGCTAAGGACATCGCAGACATAGCTGATTTCTCTGAGATCCGAGGGATTGACTTTGATGATAAAGATGCCAAATTTTTTAAGAGGTTTGCAACTGGTGCAATACCAGTCAGTTGGCAACAAGAAATAATTGATACAGGACTCTTTGATGAGCTCAACGACCCAAACAGGCAAAGCTCTGGAAAATATACTTATGGCGATGGTGAGAAAAAATCAGGAGTATGTTCCATAATATAGTTAGTGATCACTGTAAATTAGTGGCAGAATGGGACATATTTTATAAGCAGTTTTAGATATCTGCAGAAATATATTTCCTCTAGCTAAGTTATCTCAGCACAAGTCACTTCTTCTCTAGACCCTTCTCTTCTTGGAGAAAGTTAACCAGGTACTATCTAAAACTGTTTCAAAACCCAATTCAAAGGGTCAGGTGGTTCGAGGTTGCATGAAACAGTTGCTGCCCTACAACTGTCTTACTTTAGTACTCTGTTACTTGATGCTGCTATGCACACTCAGAAGCAGGGAAATATTGTGTAAAAGAAAGCATTTGAGAGGCCATCGGACTTCAGGTGAACTTTCTTCTCATGACTTAAGCTGAAGAGTCACACAAGCAAGTAAAGCTTAATAAGAGTTCAAATTTAAGCCTATCACAGGTCATAGTACACGTAACATGTAAGACTGAATATTTAGATTGTTGTATGTTCTTCTGTTTGATGTACTTATATATGCTGTATATAAATATATGCCCAGCATCTGGCAGCTACTATTTTGTCAGGTTTAGCTGTAGGACTGCTCCTAGGCTTAGTTGTGCCTGAAGTTGCATTGAAAATACAGCTCTCCTGATTTCAGCAATAAGCCGCTGTTGCCCTTGCAATTAACCCATTAGGCATAGCCAATATTGACAAAGTATAATGATGCATCCTGTGCTATTTGCAGACTGCCCATATAGTCAGGATGTTCTTGAGAGGCTGTGAGGTTAAGTCAGAACCTAGTTTTATATTCCCTATACCTTGTCTAGATGTCAGAAGGACAGTTTGGGGATTCTATAGCCATCTTCAGGATTGATGATTTGGGACAAAGATAGCTGCTGTGTTGGGAATGTTTACATGATTCTCCTTTGTTTTCCAATGTCAATGCCATGATAAAGTGTGGTTTCAGGGAAGGGGGTTCGTTAACAGCATGCATGTAACTAAAACTGAAAACACAAATCAGGAATTGTTCAATACCTAAGGTTATTGATAACTGGGCAGTGAAACCATATCAAATCTAGTCAAAGCTGGGAGAATCTAAAACTGCTTACAAAATATGATCCCTTGTGCTGTAAGTAGCTCACTACCAAAATTACCCAAAACAACTGGCGTATTGAAGATGTATTTATGGCAAAGTTTTACAAAGCCTTTTTGTGTTTCAGTGTCTTGCATCATTATGGCTTGTTACACCTCAATGCCTGGACTTATACATTTATCATTATGTCAAAAGTGTTTGTTTTTTTTATTAAAAAAATGAAAGAATGAGAACAAAGGTTTGTTGTGGTGTCTTGGTGTCGGTTTATTGTTCATGAGAATAGGAACATAACATAACATAATGAACTGACATGGTGTCTTGGCCAAGGCAGTATGAATTACTCAATTTTTCAGGAGTTGGGATGCTGTCAAAGATAATACCTTCATTCCTTTTTCTGCATGAGTTCATTAACATGATCAGCAGGTTGTGGCAAGTTTTAAATACAAGAATAGACAATTAGGTGTATATAACTCTCTCTCTCTCCCTCACTCTAAAACCATTTTCACCTAATCATTAAATGAAACAAATAATAATAATAACGGCCAGAAAGGAAACACAAACAGTAAAAATTGTAATGACGCCGCACATTTTGTGGTCAGTTTAGAAGTTACCCCTTAAATCTGTGCACTGCACTGTAGACAGGAGATCAGTTTTCCACTGCTATATCCTCAAGGAACCCCTAGCAACCTCTAGAGCACATGTGTCAAACAGAAGTATGTCACCCCAATATGGACCCTGCACAGCCCACTTGAGAGTGCACAGCTGGCTAAGGACCCCGCACAGCCACCTAAGAGCCTGCACAGTCCACACAGAGAGCCTGCATAGACTCCACACAGCCACCTGAAAGTCCACACAGCCCACCATAGAACCTGCACAGCCACCTGAGAGTCCACACAGCCCACCAAAGACCCTGCATAGCCCACCATAGACCCTGCGTAGTCCACCTGAGTGTCCGCATAGTCCACCAGAGAACCTGCACACCCACCTGAGAGTCCGCACAATTACACTAATTGCCATTATTTTTCCTAGACTTCTACTTTCAAAGCTAGTTATTAAGTTATTACTAAAACTAGTAATGATCGAATGCAGAGACAATTATTTAATATTATAAAGAGTAGATACTGTGCATTTATATAGTCTTACAGACACAACCGGCCCTTGGAGGGCAACCATAATGCTGATGCATCCCACAATAAAATTGAGTTTGACAACCCTGCTGTAGAGGGACCCCTGGGTTTCATGGAACCTTGGTTGAGAAAGACTGCTGTAGGTGACACACCCAGGATCCTGAATTTATATGCAGAACTCTGGTGTCAGATATCATTGGCATCATGTACGGTATACAGAAAAACAGAAACACAGTAATGGGGTTCATAATAACCAAACCACATATAATACAACATATAATACTAACAGACTACAGAAGACATTTGAAAACATACTGTACTTAAACCATTAATTCCTTCCCTTCACCATTAATTTGCTTCCCTTCCAGATTATCAAACCCAGGTCAGTGCACACATTTTTCTAATGAGATAAAACTGAAAGTGGCAAACATTTAGGCCCCATTACTGCGTATGCGTTGCAATTGTGTTCTACCATGGCATATTGTGTATTGTTGCGCCATTCATTTAGTACTACTATAGTAGTGTGCAGCGCACCTGTCCTGCAGTGTGGCACAATGCACATGCCATGTGTTGTGGTGCACTGCATTAAAAGAACACCAGAAACATTTTTTGAGCCGTTGTCCTGTGGTACAAATGAATATGCTTAAATCTTAAATAATATGAGTTATGAGTTAAATCTTAAAAATACGTTCAAGTACCTTAACTATTACCAAAAATGTATCTTATTTGTGTATCACTCGGCTGTAGATCCTCAAATCATCTCTGAATTGGTGCCGACACTGTCCTTCCTTCTGGAGGCTGGCTACTTTTGTTCCCCATGGTCCCTGTGTGTGTTTATAAAGTATCCACAACTCCAAGTTCGCTCTCCCATGATAGACTACAATCTCAATACAAATAAGTAAACTAAACATGAGATTGTAGTACATCACAGGAGTGAGCTTGGAGTGGTGACTACTTTACAACACACACAGGGACCATGGGGAACAAAAGTAGCCACCCTCCAGAAGGAAGGACAGTGTCAGCACCAATTCAGAGATGATTTGAGGCTCTACAGCCGAGTGATACACAAATAAGATACAAGTTTGTTAATAGTTAAGGTACTTGAATTCATTTTTAAGATTTAACTCCTCAGTTTAGAATCACTTTAATGCAGTGCTTAAACACATGCACAATAATACACTGTAACAGCCCAGACAGGTCTGAAGGGGCTGTTAAAGATATTACATATGATTAACTTAAAAACGATAAATGTTGTGTATATGATTGCACAGCTCTGTGGAAAGAGATCAAAAGAAACAAAAACAAGAAGATTAAGAGACTATAAGAGAACATATATACTGTGCAATATCATAAAAGGGGTCAAAAAATAATATTGGCACTTTTCTTATTTAAGCATAACTCAAACCTTAAAGGGTTAAAATTGTGCGGTTAAGAAAAGGTGGAAAGGGTATGGAGGGGTATGACTATGAGACATGACGTGTTTAACAGGGAAACCAATTGGATTTAAATAGTAATTTGAACTGTTTTATGGTAATGAACAAATTCCTTTTTTGAAGATTGATTTATACAATTTTGTTCTACAAGCCCTATGTCAGTATAGGGAGTGACGTGGAGGTCATAGGAGGGAGCAGTGACCGCTGAGAAGGGATACAGAAACTCAACAATCTTGGTACGATGGTTTCCCAGCAGACTCTCGTAGGTGATTTCTCAGCAATGGAGTGGTCTTCAATGGCGTGGGCAGCATGAGAGGTAAGTATTTCCAGGCTTCTTTTTCGGGTGACAGCTTTGTTTTGATATTGATATTAGCAACACTGTCACTATAAAGTGTATGTGCACCCAATGTTTTTTAGTGTTGAATAAAGTGGGAAAGGAATAGAATCCCTGTTGGTTTTCCCTGCTATTCAAGGTTCTGTTACAGGGGTGTAACTAGAAATATCAGGGCCACATAGCAATATTTTGTATGGGGCCTGTGATTTCTAGTTACGCCCACCTGATATCCCAAACAACCCACCTGAGAGTGACCCTGCAGAGCCCACCATAGACTCTCTATGGCGGGCTTTGCAGGGTCTCAGGTGGGCTGGTCAAACCCTCTTACCTGTCAGCCCGATTGCTCTCTGACTCTTCCTCTTCCGCCACTGGGCCCCACCTCCTCCATCTCCAGGGCCCACCTCCTCCATCACCGGTCCCCGCCTCATCCTTCAATGCCGTCGCTGGGCCCAGCCTCCTCCTCCTCCGCTGCTGGCTGTCACTGACTCTGCAGTAGCTGTGAGGCGGAAAGCGCCAGGTTGTCAGTGATCTGAACAGTGGCGTGTTCCTCCTCGCAGCCACCAGTGACAGCCAGCAGCCTGACATGACATAGCGACTCAGGCGGCCCGCACAGCATCAGGCGGATGTCTTGGCCAGGCCCCCCTGTCCCCCGGGCCCCATAGCGGCTGCCTGGGTCACTATGGTGATTGTTCTGCCACTGTTCTGTTAGATGGTTTACCCTCTCTTATTGTCACAGTTATAATGGTGTCACCAAACAGGAAGTGAGGGAAAATCTCCAACAGCAACACAGAGTGAAATAAAAATGTCTGGAGTAGGGAAGGGCTTGAACTCCTATCAGTTTTTATCACTGTCACCCATTTGTAGATTTTCCCTCACTTCCCAGGTGTAAAATGCTGTGATTATGAAATACTTCCACTTGCAGAGCATTCACTTCCTGCTTTGAAAGGGCAAAATGACTTCAGTTTGCCAAAGCAATGCACACTGGGAAATCTCATCTGTAATCTCACAAGATCTCAGGGAAAGGCATTTTCCTCCCCTGAGATGATGTGCATGGTCACATGTCCTAGTCACATGTACCAGAAATCCAGGAAGTAAATGGAGAGCTAGTAATCTGCCCTTAGTAAACAAGGCCACTGTCAGAAGTCTGGAAAAGAAAAGGGACATAAGGAATGC